TCTTAAACCATTTAAACCATTCAGGTTTAAAGCAAGAATAACATTGATACACGAAGTTACCAAGCCTTAGTAATTACTTTCTGCATGCTGATCGTAAATATCTGCAAGTTAGGCTTAATTCTTCAAAGACTATTCTTAGCTTAGAACTTCTGGCTTTCTTACAAAAAATATTTTCATAGCAGTATCAGAAGCGTGTACCGACTGCACCTTACCTGCTAATAACTCTTAATATGGCAGACAGAGTTTTTTCCTCATATGTTAAGACATCAACAGGCAAAGCTGCTCCAACCTATGAAAAAAATGTTATTTAATAAGTTCCATCCTATTCTCTTATAATGGTTTATAAGCAAGCGATTTCACTCCCAGCATGTGACATCATGTTATAGTTACACTCCAATCTCAAAGGAATATTTCAGTTACAAATAAACAGCATCTTTTCTCTAAGAGTTCTTTAGCTAGAAGCCACTTATTTCCACATTACAGCTGGAAAAACATGGACCCACAAGTGATGTGACCTGATTAAAGTTACCCAGCAATACTGCAAACAGAGCAAGAACAGTAGTGTGGATTGCCCATCCACAAAGCTTTTCCCCACATATAGTTCTCATTCTAAAGCCTCCCTATAGCAAAAGCATCAATACTTCAAATTCTAAAAACCAGATATAAAAGAACGGTTTGAGTTGGAAGGGACCTTAAAGATCATCTCGTTCCAACCCCCTGCCATGGGCATGGACACCTTCCACTGGACCAACGTGTCCAAAACCCCCAACCAGCCTGGCCTTGAGAACTTCCAGGGATGACTGGAGCCACTCCACCACGGACACTAAACTGAGACGTGCAGCCCAGCACCACTGGGAGCAATTATAACGTGGGCTGGGGAGCAGGTCCGGTTACGGGAGCAGCAAACCGAGGACACTTCTCCCTCCTCGCCTGCCCTCGGCCCGTGCCCTCCGCTCGGACACTGCTCTGCTGTGCCGGGGGACAAAGGGCAGGCAACCGGCCGCTCCCCCAAGGCTCTCCCGACCCGGAGCCGCCGCCGAGAGACGGACCCCGACCCCAATCCCGATCCTGGTCCCACCTCTCCGTGCAGCTCCCTCAGCGCCGACACCACCAGCTGCTTGAACTGCGCGGCGTTCGGCCGGGCCCCGCCGTCGGGCAGCTCCCTGCGGGAAACAGAGCAGAGAGGGGTCTGAGGGGGGTCTGAGGGGGGTCCGGGGGCGGTCGGGGGGTCTCGGGGGGTGTGCGGGGGGCGCACACACGCACACGCACATAGTGGTGGCGGGCCGCCCTCCGCAGCACGCGCCGCTCGAACGCGGCCGGCGGCGGCTCCGCGCGCGCCGCCATGGCCCGCCCGACCCCGCCCCCCCGACGCGCGCCCCCGTCCGGCCAATGGCGGCGCGAGGCCGCGCGCCCGCCCCTTCTGTACGGCGGCCGCGCGTGGTCAGCGTCGCCATGGCAACGGCGCGGCCCCACCGAGGGGGGGACACCCAAGCGCAGCCCTGCAGACGGGCAGCGTCTGAGTCTGACATGCACCTCTGGGAAGCTGAGGGAACAGATGGTGTTTCCAAGTGCTACACGCGAGGTTTTCGCTTCGGAAAGGCAAATATTGAGCGCTGCGCCACAAACACGCTGTTGGGAGAGCGGCACGTAGAGATGCTCCTTCGCTTCCCCTTCAAACAAGTGTGGTGGTCGCGATGCAGTTCCCGAGGCAGCGTGGTCCCGGTGAAGGTGATGCCTGGCACCGTGACAGGTCACAAACACTGAGGGCACTGTGTTATCCCAGCCTCTGTTTTGCAGTACACGCAGCTGAAATAGATTTGAGAAGTGCACAGCACGAGGCTGGCAGATCAACACCTACTTGAGAAGGTAAAATAACACAATTTTAGTACCTTGTACCTGATCTAAAAACTGGTGTGAAATATATCCTTGGGAGAGAAACAGCAGGAAGGATAGAAGTATCTCTGCTCTGCCGAAATGATGAAACATTAGCCCCGGCAAAAGAACTTCACAGGGTCTTCCTTCTTTTACAAAAAGGTTTACCTAGGAACTGGTAAATCAATGGCAGCAGGATAACACTGCAATAGCCTGATCTGATGTTTGAGTCATGGCCCAACTCAAAGGACACCAGTTGCCTCTGCCATCTCACTGCTCAGTCTGTGCAAAGGTCCTGTGTTATTCCAGCAGAGCTTTCTCATGTTTAGCACCACAATCCACCTGAACTCCACTCCCAGACTGACTTAAAAACTGTACATAAAACACCAGACATTCAGAAAAAAATACTTCAGCAAAAGCAAGTATTATTTCACATGTACCAAAGTAATTTTCAGGTTGTTAGTTAGGTTAAATAAAAGGCAGCTGTAAAATTCAGTACATGTAAGTGCAGGCCAATAAGAGACCCTCAGGAATATAATGTTTCTTGTGGAAACCAAGAACCAGTTACTGCAATGCTCAATAAATCAGTTCTATGATAATTTGGCAAGACTTAATCAGAGCAGCCAGTTTTATTGGGACCGACAACACCTACAGAAGTTGGTATTACTTTTAAGATTAGTAAAATTTTATCGCCAAACAGCAAAACTTGGAGGTCAGGTGCTGTATAAATCTCTTTTGCTTATTGCAGTAGGGCAAGTGCTGCTCTCCATGAGGCTCTGGCAACAGGAGCTACAGGACCTGAGGCACCCCAAGTGCATCCAGGGAGCTGCTGTAAGGCTGGGGCTGTGTCAGCTGCAGTGAGTCAATAACGAGCACACACAGGACTGTACAGGAAGGCTGGACACGACAGGTCAGTTTTTTATTAACCAAAAGTGAAGCTGAACCCCAGAGTGGTTTAACCTGTTAAAACCATATGGTTTTATATGGCAGATATTTTTCTTTCATGTTCAACACTACAGTGCAAGAACCAAACTTCGCAGCTGTTCATCCTTTGAGAATCAAGTACTAAAAGTAAAATGAATTAAAATAAGGGTCCCTCAATGAATTAATTAAAAAACCATTTAACTCAAAAGAACAGACCAATTTTAAGAACTGTCTTATTAAATTTTCCCAAGTGAAAGACCTTTAAAAGCACTTGGAGCCTTGAGGTAGCAACTTTATGCAGAATTCAATTCCCCTCCTGCCCCACAGAGGAAAATTAGTAGCGCATTATTAGCTCCAGCCAGCTAAGCTGAGTGTCTCCTGTGAGGTTAGTGACTTTCTCTTGCCTCTTGAAATAGCAGTGGAGTGCTGCAGAGCTCCAGGAGGAAATCCACAGGGAAGGCCTCTTGAAATAAAATATATGGTTTGAAAAAAGTTAAAATGATCAGCAATAACCATAACAACAAAAATTATCTGGAGTGAAAAAACCCAACGTGTTTGTATTTTGGCAAGACTAGTTTACAAATACATGTCAAGAACAAGAGTCTGCTTTCAGCCAACAAAAAAGAAAGAATGGAAGTGACATTCAAAGGGATTTCGGGTTTTGTTGCCCTCTGTGCAAAATTGCACTTTGTTTTTAAAGTTTTATTTTAAAGTTTTAAGTTTTGCACTTTTGTTTCTAAAAATAGAGCACTTTTGCCCTTTGTTGTTCTTTTACATTTTGAAACCTGTGCTGTGACATTAGACAGAAATACCATATGCCAGGATATCTGACCACTGAAAGCTCCTCTCACTGACTTCACCACAATCACAAGCAGGGGATCACAAATAGGAGACTTGTCTTCCTCTGGGTCTCGAAGACATGATCCTCTGTGCCCACTTTGCTGCTGAGTTCTTTTATTAAAAACTAGATCTCTCTCTAGTGCCAATTTCAGAGACTCCATGGCAGATTTACTGAACACTGAGCTGTAACAAAACACCTGGGCTTGTTCTCTACAACAACTGCGATGAATAGTCAAAGTGAAAAGGAATGAGCTGAGATACAGCTCAGCTCATGGAGCAGGATGGGGCAGATGGTCACAAACAGGTGCTCACTTATTCCCTGCACCACTCACACCTTCCAGCTTTGCTCACTGCTGGTGCTCTAACCAGATTCCTGCCAATATTGAGTATCACACCATCTTCATGCTCCAAAACTGTACAGAACAGGTTGGTTAAACCACACCAAACTAATCAGGCATATTGCACGTTATAGCTCTTAAATGGATGAGCTTTCTTAGCTCATTCTCTTTCAGCTCAAGGTCAGCTGCCTTTCTACACCATGGAATGCTGCTGCACAGACCCTGGGTGCAGGATAGCATTGCCAACTATGCCTTTGCTCCAGGGAGCCCAGAGAAAAGCAAAACTTCAAACGCTTGTTCTTGCTCACATGGGATCCCAATTTTCTGATTTTATATTCTCATCTTTTCCTTCGACTTCTAGAAGCCATCAAATCCTCCCTTCCAGCAGAAATATCTCAAGAATCTAACATCTGCTTTGCCTGGTTTTTGGTTAAGCTTCAAAACAACTGCCCGTGTTTGCCTGTGCTGAGGTTACAGTCTTGTCCTGCAAGAGAACAAAGGCTGTAAGAACCAGAATCCATCTGTAAGGCAGCCCAACCTGCCAGGCTCCTTTGGATAAAGGAGAGGATATTCTGCCTGGGAGCAACAAAGGCCAGCTGGTGATTATTCACAGCAATTTTCTATTTAGTTCACATGACAGTTTAGGCAGCACAGAAACTCACGCTGGTTCAGAGACCGGTTTATGTCTGGTTCACAGGACAGTCACGAGCTAGCTTCAGAAAGACTCCTGTCAGGGACCCCAAAGTGTCTTAAAGTTAAATCTGTTATCATTGCAAGAACCTGATGAGTGAGCTTTTTTCATCTCTTCTTGGCATTTTGTTTGTTTGTTTGTTCTGAGTTTCTTAGGGCTTTTGTTTGCTTTTTAATTCTGTAATCAAAAGAATTATTTTTGTCTTTGGTGTTAAACCTTGGAAGCATGAATGAGAAGTACCTGCTGCTTCTTTGGCTGTAATTTATGACAAAGAAACAGCCGAGGAAAGCAAGGGAAATTCACTGTTCTAAAATACATGCAGTTAGAACAGCCACTAGACATCACAACCAGGACTTTAATAATATGGAAACACCGAGATCAGTGGTGTCCATTACAAATCATTTGCATTATATAAAAATATGACTGAAATTACAGTAACTGGACAACAGCCATTCAAATTGATCAACTTTCCATCTTGCTCATATTGCAGGAAATGGGAGGAAAATCCATTGGGGGGGGCGGGGAAGTGTCCAGAAATCAACTTAGAGTTGCTGCTAAGCATCTCGTGCCTCAGAGAAACATCCACTGTGATAACTAAAAGCAGGAATTCAAGATTAGCATCCTTCCATTCTTGCTCACATGGCCATGAATAAAAAGAGCAGGTTCTGTTACACTAGCATTCACAATTAAAATTTTATAACCCCATAAAACACCAGTACGTTTTGCATGAGCTGCGGAAGAATGCAAATTCAAAGGGTCACTAGATTTATTACCTCCAAAATCAATGTCTTAATATAAATATTCTGTTTGTACACCATAAAAATGTCCTTCTTATGGTCTGATTCTTATTTAGATAATACTCTCATAAAATCTCAGCCATATGCCAATTAAGGTCATTAAAGCTATAGAAACAAGAATCTACCTAATAAATGCTGCAAATTTAACAGGTATTTTAGATAAACATGATTAGCTTAGTTATCACCTAGACCAAAAAGACTCCTCAAACACACCAACTGCATAGTTAGCAAAGACATTTGCTTTACAAAGTCAAATGTTGCCAACTTTTGAAAAGTTTAGCAAATCAATGTGGTATTTGGAAGCAACCAAGTGTCTAATGAAGTTAGAATACTGTGAAATGTTAGGACTGGGGGAAGCTCCTGTAAACAAGTACAGAAGTAGTCTTCATTTAAATTACAAAACATTCACCTCCTTAAAAAGCTTTAAAACTGACCCAGTCAACAACTGTGCCCTGGGAAATCTAGCAGTATAAAGGATCTCTGTAAGCAAGAGAAGGTCATACGTTGTGATCTCACCACCATAAAATGTACTCAGTGTCAGGAACAAGGAGCAAGTCTGGGGAGATGACAATTATGACACTTTCAGGCCATTTGATCTGAACCACTGCACTTTTTTGGGCAGCATAGAGTAAAACAATTTTCTTTGCTGCTCAGAAAACACTTAAAATGTAGTAATGCTTCATTTTCTGCATCTGGTTGCTAAGCAGACTCTCCTATGTCCCCAGCTCGGTTTACTTGGTTTAAAGAGCTATTTAGTACCTGCCACTTTCAGCAGGTGGACAGAAATTTCAGTGCCATCTTATTCACTGGCTCCATTGATATTTTAACTTCAAACCCAGATGCTACAATTAAAAGCAAATTTGACACTGTGTAAGGAAAGCATCAGATGAAGGTAATAAGTCCATGAAAGGCCTGTATTCCACAGGCTGCCTCTGCAGAACAGGCAACCTCCCACTACAGAATCTGATTGGAAAATTTATCCCAACAGTAACACTCAGAAGGAAGGAGGCTTCTATATCTTGCACACTTTGGGTTTCATATCAGGCACTTGAACTGTTGGACAGATGCCATTCTGAACCAAGTAAGTGAACATAGGGTTAGAATCATCTTTAATCTAGGTCTAATAATGAAGTATCAGCAGCAAAGTGGAGGCAGGGAGTGAGCAATCCATCTGTGCTGAGACTTGTTTATGGTTTCTAAAATGCCCAAGAAAACAGCAGCAGTAACTGTTCCATAGTGTCCGTTGTCCTTGTGAGTTGTGTTGCTGATAGGAGGCTTTTCTGTGTCTTGAACTAAGAAGGCATTGAGGTACCCTGTGCCTAATTCCCTGGATCCAACAGGTCCATGCTAGAGCCAAACATTGCCACCAGTTGCTCCTCATAATGGGTTATATTCCTCTTCATAATGTCCATGCAGGGCCCAAGCAACCGCTCAAATGCTTGCACATCCATGACTGCAAAGGAACAGAGGTGAAAACACGATCATTTGTCAAAAAGGACACCACACACCAATCTGGTTTTTAAACTCAGAACAAACCTCCAGTCCAACCCACTCAGGTCAGAAACAGAAATCATGTCTCTGATTTCCCTCTGTACTGTTATTTGTAGAAACAAGATTAATGAAATACAAACCTGACCTCAAGGACAAATACAGAAGCAAAATACATCCCACACTGGCATTAAAAGATCACCTGAAGGGTATGTGTGACAAACTGTACACAAGAAGCCAATGCCCTTCAGAGAGTACACACAACTCACGCAGAAAATAGAGAATCTGCCATAGGGAAGCAGAGGTGCTTCTCTGACTTCCATGTGGAGCCCTGCTCCAGCCCCTGCTCCTGCCTTCTGGTGTCTGACTGCCAGTTAGCAAAAGGTTGCTGGTTTTGAATAGCTGCTCACTCAGGCATGCTCCATGAGACAAGCAAAGACCAGAAAAGGGTAACTAGAAACACAGAACATCTGCTTACCTAAACATTTGACCTCCCCAACAGCATAGGCAGAGGCTGCTCTGGGTTTGTTGGTAACAAGTGCAAGCTCTCCAAAATACTGCCCTCTGTGACACCGGGCAATCTCCACTTCTTGGTTAGCTTCTTTACTCGTCATAGTCTGTCAAACAGTGCAGTTTCATTATTTGCACACAGTTCTGTCCTTGTGCAAGGCTGCAGTTCACCCCACATACCTTACACACATGCAACACCTCATTGGTTTAGGGCCTTTAACCCGGCAATTCCCAAGTCATGGTCTGTGCTGGTCGAACACCTCAACACCATGATAAGAAGAGCATGTGCCAGCCCCCAAGTGTTGAGACTGGCAGGTATTTACTGTTAAATCAATCTAACACAGCCTTTATCATCTACCACAAGCTGTTCCCCAAGGCAGCTTTAAATGCCAACATCCAGTATGTCACTAGAGATAACAGACCCCACTTTTTCTAAGCTACAGTTTTCTGTAATGACAGAAGAAAAGTTTCATCTCCACCCTTAAGGCCAGGGAGAATATATCAGGTTAGTTTGCAGAGCAGCAGATAGAAGCAAAAGACTTTTCTACTTTAGTAAACTAACTTCAGTTATGGGAATTTACAACCTTCATCACATGAGTAATGATGATAAACATCACAAAATAATATATTAAAATAAGTCAGGGTAGGCTTTTTCATATATCTTGTATTAATCAATAGAATAAGGGATTGACTTAAACCCTAATCACTCAATTTGCACTCACCTTGCTTTTGATCAAGATTTTTACTTCACCAGATTCTACAATGTAAAAACAATCTGCTTTATCGCCCTGTGAAGAGAAAAAGGTAAAATAAATTATTTTTTACTTGACTTATACATACTTGAAAGTATGTATAAAGGGTATTATATTCACTTTGAACTAGGCCTTGTGCAGAAATCTGCTAGAATTGACAAACATTCAGATTCCTAACATTAAAAGGTGACTGGTTGGATAATACATTAGAGGAACCCAGAAGGAAGTAACTATTAGTGCATGTCATCCAGTGAGAGGGCAGGAGGAAAGGGAAACACAAAGGAGATTGATGATATAAAGCAAAATCACCTAAGTGCAAACCTTCTGCTCTTGACAGAAGTAGCCAGTTGTGAAACTAAGCAGAGCCTAGAATTTCTATAGGCAAATTTTAATAAAACACCAATTTAGTGACTGTGTTTCTAGATGTCAGCAGGAAAAAAGATCCATTAAACTAAATATGAGCTCAGTCAATTCACAGTAAAATAGCAGGAGACAGAAGAACCCAGAATAGCTGCATTTGAGGAGCACAAACATGGAAAGGAAGAGGAGGATAGTTTACAGAAAGGCAAGTCCACAATGCAACCCATCTACATGAGGAATGATGCAATGGCTCCATAGAGGTAGTGAGAATGGTAAGGAATAAAGCACTCAGCATCATGTCATTAAAGGAAAATCAGTCACATAGGGGCAAGTGGGAGAAAATAAAAACTGATAGCCATTTTATATCAAGTTCTAGAAAGATACCACAAGGTGCTGTTGAAAGACTGGGTGTGAATTAAAGAACTGTGATTTAGTCCAATCCAGCTGTTTCTATGAAGAAGGCACTGTGAGAGTGACCAAGCACACCCAGAAAGGTACTGAACTCTCTGTTCTTTGGGATATTCAAAAGTCATCTGAACACAGTCCTGGGCAACAGGCTCTCTGTGGCTCTGGCTGAACAGGGGGGTTTGGACAAGGTGACTTCCAGAGGTCCCTTCCGACCTCAATCATTCTGCAATTCTGTGAGAGTTTCTAGAACCTTCTTCACATCTCTCAATCCCCACCCCATTGCAAACCTTCAGCAGATCCCAGTTTACATCTGCTCTGGAGAGCTTTGCCAGCACTTAATTTCAAAGTTTCATCTGTGACAGAGAGGACTTTCTGTATCAGCCCCTGTGGGTTTGGCATAGGGCTGGAAGTCAGAGCAGAGACCCAGCACATGCCTCCTGCTATAAATCACAAGCAAAGGGACTAAAGGCTTCAGGGAGACAGAGGCTGGAAAAAGAACTGATAAGGGAATGGGAGCAGCTCAGCAAAAAAACCTGAAATAAGAGAGATAAATCTGACATTAAGTCAAGTGGGCAAGGAGATGATGAATGTGATGGGAAGAATGGAGGGAGATAGTTACAACCAGAGTATGAAACATGGGCTGGAAGAAAATGATGCAAGATTTAAACACAGAGTTACAGAATAAATTAGGCCTTTAGCTGAGCTTCCTGGGGGTGGTCATAAGTCATCCAGTGCAAAGCTTTTCATTCACCATTGCCATCTATCACAACATGAGCTAATACTCCCAGCACACTTCTGAAAGAGTAAGTACTTAAATAATACTTTTTCTAACAGAAAGGAAATAAACTGAGTGGGAGACATCCTCGTAACACTACTAACAATTTTCAAGTGCTTTAAAGCTTACTGCCCTTAACTGAAGGGCCAAATTCCAGAAGGGTAATTAAAATATAAAATTATCCACAAGAGAAAAGGAGGAAAGGCATTCATGGAATTGATGCAACTGCTGCAATGTAAGAGTTACCATATCTTTTCCAAGCTTAGAATTCCATCAGCTCTAGCAGTGTACCACCAGACCTATCCAGACTATTAATCCTCCTTTTAAGGATAATTACATCCTTGTCCTTAATTCAGTTATTACAAAAGATTAAAACCAACTGTGTAATTGGATCACTGATGGTGTGAGTTCCCAGTTTTGAGACTTATTTATAAGCTCTGATTTTGCTGAGAATTCAGTCTTCTCAGAGTCTTAAGCAACAAGAGTTTCAACTTACAAAACAGGGTATTTTTGGAGAGAAGTAATTTGACAGTATTTGCTTATCAGCAAACTAAAGTTTCCTGCATCCACTTATCTGACATTGCAAGTAATTAAGATTAATTATTCAAGACATTATCAAGGAGTCATATTCTGTTTATAAAACAAGAACAATGGTTGTAAGCAAAAACCTGCAATTGCAGGTAAGCCAAGGACTTTTCTGAATTCACTTCTACTTGAACTGCAGCACTTTTGCAACACAGCAACCCCAAGCTAAACTTGACACAAAATCCCATTGTTTCATCAGTAACAGTGTTCCAAAAAGTTATTTGTGTCACAGCCAAAAAAAAAAAAAAAAGAAATCACACAGCTTTAGCTTGAGTTCATCCAGCTTCATGTTCCTCCACTCCAGCCTTGATCTGCTGCAGCAGACAAAACATACACCAACCACCAAAGGCTGTCAACTGAGCCAGACCACACCACTGAAATACTCTTTCTAAAAGCATCAGGAAGAACAGTGGTTTTAGTTAACCCTGATAGTTCTTAGAATAGTAAACTGGGTTGGGTCCAACTAGGTAAACATTCCAATGACTGCATTTACTTTCATTCAAACCATACTCGTGTTGAATTGTTTGTTTCTGTTGTTCAGTCAGACCTAGGCATTAGAGATGCCTTAACTACATGCCTGTGATTCCTTTTTTGATCTGGTCGTAGGGGCCTAGGAAAAGTCTAGCTGGGGGCTTTCATGGAAAACTGCATAGGCAGACATTTAATTTCAGCTTCTGAAGGCACACTCCCCTTGAAACCTTGCGAAGACCATTTAGAAAACACAGGTAAGAGAAGAAATACCCAGAAGCTAAAGTGGTAGAATAAATTTGCAGCAAAATACATACTGTCCATTCCCCAAACATTCAAGAAGTGATTAAATAAATTGGAAGTATTAAAGAATAAGTGCCAAGTTGGTCCAAGTAATAAGATTCTATTAAGTCAATTCCACACACAAAAAAGAAAAAGAAGCAGAGAAAGGAGAATGATAAAGAGAAGTTTAGAGTTCAAGTACCTGAGAAATGATACGTTCCCCATCTTGGTACACTTTCTCTCCTATAACATCCACTATCTTCATTCGCTCTGATGCCTGGAACAAAGAGGAAAATTAGAAACAATAATCAATTATAGCTCATGTCTATGAACTCTCCTGAATCTCTCTGGCTTCTCCTGAAATGAAGAGGCACTCTCTAGACACACAAACACACAATTTATAAATATAGCCCCAAAATGACATGGTCATAGTACTGCAACACAGTTCGCAAGATACCATAATCAACAGGGAAAGAAAATTGTCTAATGTCCCATCCCTGCGTTTTTCTTACCTGCAAAGTTAAAAAATAACTGATTTGGCCCATTTAGAGCAATAAGGCGGGGAGGAGGGGAAATCACTTCCTTAAATGTTCAGTTGAAATTTGAAGAAAGCACTCAGAAAAATGTCATAAACTTACTACCTTACACTAGCAACATCGTTTCAAAACATTTTAATGACTTTATAGTTGAATATGTAGGGGGCGGGGTTTGTCCCAAAACTCATTCCTAGAGTGGCAAGGAAGGGAATATGAAAAGGACAAGGGCTGTGAAGCATGAGCAGGCACTGCAGCCAGGATGCCCAGCAGCAAGGGCAGGAGACCCTATCTGACATGCCACAGAACAGCCTGAGTCTTCATAATCAGGAAGGGGAAAGAGAACAGCTACATTTATCTCCTGTGTTTCCCACAGCCCATCTAAAACCCCACAAAACAATTTTATTGCTTCAGAGCAGCATAAAAAAACATACCAAGAAAGGAAGAAAATCCTGCTGTTAAAATTCAACAGATGATTCAGTTGTAATCAATCCATTCATTCCCCAAATGCACCTTAATCTTGCCTATGTTTGAGAAATCAAAATCTGGTCCACGCATGATTCAACTGCAATGTGTCATGCAAAAAGCCATCCTAGTGCTAATGAGTTATTTTGCTGTATCTTTAAATATTTGAGTCACTTCTGTTCTCAAAAAAAAGGCACACTGATGGAACCAGTTTAAGCCAGGCACTGAGGAAGAAGGTGTTGTGTAATTTACCCCTTCCACAGCTACAGTATATGTCCAAAATCACATGTATTAGAGGTTGTTATTCACATCTAATGATACTTGGCAATTTCGTAATCTTCTCCCAAAGGGATAAAGAGTTTTTCTCAAATACTAAAGATAAATCATGAGAAAGATTTTTTTATCATGAGAACACAAAGAAAAGCTAAATTATGATGTAAGGCAAGGACAGACACATACTAATGTCAAAGCAGGTTGGTCAGTTCCAAGAGCCCTCTGAAGATACAGGTTGAGTCAACAGAAGTGATAATTGGCACATTGTTCCTGAAGTTATGCCCCCCACACACCAATGTAACACCTGTCATTGTGTTCCCAGCTAGCTCCTTTAGCCTATTCTTAGTTTACCTCCTGAATATCAGTTAAGGTTAAAGCAACATCTACTACCATCCCACATCTTTGTGGGATCAAATTTAAAATCATTTGTGGCTGATAAAGGCCAAATATCCCACTGACTGTATCACTACTTCAACATCACACCCTCAAAGGAAACCACAGCCCTGAGTTCCAATCTGCACTTTGTGTAGATGGGTTTTTTTTTGGTTTTGGCGGGGGAGGGGGGGGGTTGTGGAAAGATTTTTCTAAAAAATCAGACAGATAAAAATCAGCAACTTGCTTACTGTGAATAAAGGGTCTGAAAAAAAAAAAAGCAATGTACAACTTCAACAATGCAAATTAAGTTGTGTAGTAAATGTGATACCAAAGCGGCTCTTAATATTTTGTTCTAAGCAGAAATAACACAGATTTCTGACACAGCAGAAACAATGTCTGTGGAGCTATTGCTAATGCAAAAATTTGATGTAGATGTCTCTGAGAAGCTTTACCTCCAAGGATTTAAGAAGGGGCACAGACTCAATAAATAATTCATACGTCTTCCTCTTCTTTGCGTTATTTTTCAGTATAATTCTTCTGAATGTCACTCGATCCTGCAAGAAACAGCACAGAGAAATACATTATTTCTCTTCACTTAAATGTTCCCTGTTTAAAGAACTGACAAACATGAACTAGTATTTACAGCAAACGCTGGGGTTGAGAAACCAGGTGTTAAAATGATACCATATCCACCACAACAGCGACTGCAACAGCTCCTCTGAAAGCACTTCTGGGAATAACAAATTGAAAAACAGGGAGCTGTACGACCTGATTCTCCTGAGATAAGCATTTAGGAATTCAGTTTTTGGTCTATCTTGTACTGTTTTTCAGGGTTGAGTTTTGAGGTTTTCTTTGCCTGTTTGTGAATATCTTTCATGCTTCTGCATACAACGAAGTTTTGCTCTTTCTGCTGACGGCAGTGGAAACTGGAATTTCTAAGACTTAAGGCAACTACAGGACTAAGTCTAAATTGGATTCTTCTCTACTTGAGCCACAGATTTCAAAAGTAAGTCAGAGATTTACACTGCTCTCAAACAGATCAGGAACAGAACATGGAACAGCAACAGGCTTGTTCACTCCTCCACCTTCTCGGATCCAAGAGCCAGCTTTTACAAGGACCACTTCCTAACTGCCACCTGTCCGTGTGTTCCATAAGGAAAAACTGTTCGGCGTGGTTTTGGAGCCCAAATTTGGGGCAATATCCCCCCTCCCAGCCCAGCCCCGCCGGCCCCCGCGCTGCGCTCCAAGGCCACCGGGCGGCGCTGCGGGCCCGGCCGAGCCCCGCGTCCCGGCGGGAACAGCGCGATTCCTTCCCGCACGGGAAAGATGGACTTGGACACCCGCAAGCACCGATGGGAAAGGCCCTAGGAGAGCTGAAACTGAGCGGCACGTCAAGGCGAAAGGGAAGGGCACCTGCCCACCAGGTGTCTCTGTTACCGCTTGCCCTGTTGGGATCAGCGCTGGATGACAAGCAGAGCCAGAGCTGCAGAGTTTGCCTTGCACAGGATAAGGCCATAAGTGTAAAAATCAAAACCAAAAAGTAGGATGAAAAGAGTACCAATTTGGTTAGGAAAATGTTACCCCCAAAAAAAAAAAGCCACAATTAGCAGAAACATCCAGTGCCCTGAGAGCCATTCCTCCAGAACTCATTTCCCAAAACCATTGGCTGATATGTAAGCAACAACATTTTAAGGTGAAGAGGTATTTTGAAGTGAACATTTCTGTGGGATGCAGGCTGCAAATACTTGTAACTTGAAGCAAGGACTGACAGAGGTGATACTAGTGGAACATAAAAGCTGAAGGATGTGAAAGATGAAAGGCAGGATGGTATTATTGTTATCCAAAGGAGAACAAAAGATGGTAAAGCATGAGGGATTTTTAAATTTTTTTTTAAAGAAATTCTTCACTGGTAGAAATGTCATCAAATGTTCGTGTTTTGAAAAGCAGAAAGGTGCAGAAACAGTCAGGGGAATTGCAAAAGCATAAAAAATTCAGAATTCATTTGCTTGAGAATATCAGTGAGGGAGGAGAAGCAGCAGTATTTGAACAAAGAAAGCAGAGCCGTGAAAGCAGCGTGTGTGATCATGAGGTTTCCCCCAGACACATTCAGTAGCAAAGGCTGAGGACATTTCCCTGCTCCAGAAGAGACCCACTGTGATAACTGCTTTGTGCCTGAGCCTTTTGGGTTTCTGTTGGCCAAAGCCTGCAATGCAGCAGGAGTAATCGACATTTCCTAAATGGCAGATGACCCACGAGCTTTAGCAATGACTTCTGCAGACTAATAAAAATATGTTTAAATTACATCAGGCACAAAATAGTACAACAAAACATGACAACAAACAGAATATCTGGAAAAAATAACAAGTTTGACTGGAAAATGCAGCCTAAGTTAATAAAATATTCACAGGACAGAAGACTAGCGAGAGGTCCCTGTTCAACTACACCTTGCTAATTATGTGAACATAATCACAGAAAAAGCAAACCCAAAATTAACCCAATTTGTGCACTTATCAAAGGCAAACTGAAACAAAGAATCATCATCTTATTTTCTTCCTTCTATGAATGAGTTCAGTTTGTAGCTAGCTGCTTTGTTCTGCCTTCTTCCAGAAATTAGATTCTGAAATTATTCCCTGGCTGATTTACCAAACTCTTTTCTTTAAGTTCACAAAGAAAAGGGAAGTCAGATTCTCTCAGCAGGCGCTGAGATTGCATAAGCACCTCGCCATGTGTAGCAGCTTATCAGTCCTACAATCAAGGTCACAACACAAGGCCAACCCCCAGCGATAGTTGCCGAGGAGCCCGGGCACACAGACAGCACACAACACTTGTGGCTTCAAAGGCTCCGTTGATCGCACAATCCTCTTATTATGTGAACCCTCACAGATGAGTAAGAGAGCACTGTGAAAATAACCCCATCCAAATAGTACAGAGAAAAGAACTAAAAAAGGAAACTAATGTCTACAGCTTCACATTCAACACTGCTGGGCTAGAGACAAAGCAACACCATCATTTAGCTTGGTATCTCATAGGTCATGCTGACCCGAGAACCACTTCCAAGGTAACAGAGAGGGACCAGAAACATGACGACAGTTTATTGTGAAGGAAAACAAAGCTTTAGGTGGTTTTCTGACCTCTTCAAATTACTAACATTCTCAAGAAGATATTTAACACCTTCCCATTCCCCTTAAAGCAGACAAAATGGTAGGAAGGTAAGTGGAAAACAAAAACGTCATTTAGATATTGTTTCCCCCTCCTAAAAAAATGTGCATGCCTCCACTGTCCTCTGCAGGATGAAAACAAAACCAGGGGTTTTTCCCCCCTAACAAAAGCTACAATTATAGCAAATGCAAAACCATAAAGGGACAGATAGAACTAGTGATATAGTTTTTACAGACAAGTTGTTCTAGAAAGGCAGCCAAAAAGATTTGCACAATGGATCTCTCATGCCAGGAGATAACAGATCATGATAAAATAGCTGTGAGCAGAGGAGCCATACCAAGAGAAGCTCTGGACACGGTGAGTTACTGTTTAAAATATTATGCATATGAAAGCAACTTCCTTTCCTTACCAGTCCCCAAAGGGCTCCTTCTGTTGTGGCAACGATGGTGGCAGCTCTAGGAGTGTTGTACATCAATGCCAGTTCCCCAAAGCTGCCGTGATTATCGTAGCGGCCCACGCAGCGCGACTGGTTGTCTTTTGCTACAACAATATCATACAGTCCCCTGCAAAACAATGGAATAGACACTTTTTATTAGACAACATTCCAGTACAAATCTTAAAAACAGCTTTTTGCTGTTATACAAATAGGCTTTTTATTGCTGTGTGAGATGGAACATGCTTTATTGAGCTTTCCAACTGCATGATTCTCAGCTGCTTCTATCTACACTATTTTCACACTAATTCTCTCTTAATGAAGCTTTTCACTCCTGATAGATATGGGCAGGATCGACTTGGTTTCTTCTGCACAGTATTTTGACATTGCTCTTCTGGCCAGGGTGAGAGGCAGTTTCATCATCTTTAACAGTGTCAATTCACAGCATGTGTGTTACCCAGTGAGGCCTTTTTAGAGTGACTTGGACCCATCTCTACCTGTTTTCTCAGTGACAGCATTGCTGCAGGACCTTTGGGAAACTGCTCAACTGCTACTGTGGGTTTGTCTCAACTCCAGATTAGGGGTATGTATATCATAACCTCAAGATGCTCTAAACCTGCTGACATCTACCAGGATCTCTGAACAGATCAAGATGAAATGTCAAAGCACTTTGTTCATACTGAGCTGAAACTTGTTTAAATTGGAAAGGCCTCCTCATCCTGTTCTCCATGAAGCACACTTCCTTACATTATAATGAAGTTGAGGAAACAGTATCCCAGAATTTACAGAGAATCAAAAGACTACTCTGATGAAGATGCAGGTTTGGGTCCAGCTAGTAAGCTCAAGACTCAAATCTGGATCAAACTGCACTACGGCAACTGCCTATGAAGAAACAGGCTGTGCACAGAAAGATAGCCATTTAAAAGTCAAATATGTGTCTGTAACACCCTCAGGACTGTCATGCTTTAAATGATAAAAATATAGTTTGAGTAGGCTTGATTAATTCTTAGTTATGGCACCAGAGATCATTCAGGTACTAGCCACTGGCCTATGAGACTTCACAGAACATACACCCTGGAGAAAAGCAGCAAAGGAACACCTTCCTGGCTTTAAGCAGCTGAATAAACATATAATTTTCCTGAGGAGTTTAGATCTTTGTCCAAAGGAATGGCATTATCTCCCATAACATCATTAGGCCCATAAGAAAAAAAAGAAAAGGAATCACCAGAAATGGTAGTAGGTGGGGAAGGAAGGCACATGAGATTGCACAGCATCCTTACCAGCCATTTTTTGTACCTGCTGTTGCTTACAGCTACGAGACAGAGTAGGAACCCAGCAGCATACTAAGAGTAAACCAGAAAAGGTTTAGTGTGGATGGAAAGTGTCACTAATTCTTATAAGTTCTGATATCCATTTAATGATTTTCTGAGAGGCACAAGAGGCAACAATCTCCAGAGGTGTATTTTTGATCTAGAAGAGATATCTGTGAACACCTTAAGCAAAAGCAACAACTTCTTCCCATCCCTCAGCCTGAAAGTCACTTACTAATGCCATTTATTTCCAAATAGCTATAGGCACATAACCTTCAGCCAAGCATTCAGCTGTCTGTGGCCCAAGAACTAAACTGGTGAGGCAACACTGGGTGACCTTGGCTCAGTTTTATTGGGAAAACTGTTGTTGAGCTGTTATTTTAGCCCGTGAGCTAAAACCTTGTGAGATAAGAATAAAAACAGAGCAAAGTGTAATTGTTGAGATGGTAATCGTTACGGGCCCAAGGACTCAAAGGAAAAGTACTGACATGAAAAAATATAAACCCCCGAGTTAGAAAAAAAGCAGAAAAGCAGAAGAGGGCAACTCAGCAAGATTGTGGATCAGTCTGTTCCAAGAGACAACAGAGGCAAATGCTGCCCCTCCTGACTGATGACTGCTCAATCAGCAGAGACTCAGCAGGTGCCTCCTCAGCAGCAATGAGCATCCTAAATGTTCAGCCATGGAACACATCCCTCTGAGCTCTTCCTTCCATGCAGAGGGCCCTAAATAGTTGCTGCATCCTCAGGTTGCATCTGCCCTGCCTTCCTGTCCCTCTGTACATAGTTAAAGACACTCAGACACAAGTGATCTGGTGAGGAAGCATCACAAGCAGAAGACTCTGGGGAAAAAAAAGGTCTGTGCCAGAACATAAAGTCACTGTTCATTCAGACAGAAAGAAACTAATCCTCAAGGATATTCAGGCATTAATTACTTATATCAGAGTAACAAGACATGCCTACTGATGCCTTGAAAGAGCCAGAGTCCTTTGAACTTGCACTTGCAAACAAGTGGAAAGCCTGTGGCTTTCCAAAAGGACCAGTGTCCTCCTATTCTTTTGCATGAAAAATTAGAGGGTGGGAGATGGAGAAGGACTGGAAAGAGAGAAAGGACAGAAAATTCCTAACTGTAGAAGTTTTTCTAATAACTGAATAGCAAAAAAGAGTTGCAGCTGAGTTAGTTTTCACAGCAAAGGCTGCTATGCTGTGTCACTAGATAATAACAAGTTTAATTTTCCTCACTATACAGCCTTTCTGCCTCATATTTTTGTCAACATATTTATGTTACTGGTGTATTTAACTTGAAAGTAAAACAAAACAAAAAACTTAAAAACCTGAAAACTTCCAACACAACTACCTCTCAATAGAAAAAACCTGTTTTGAAATAGCATTACATCTGTAGAACAGAGACCACAGAAGCACTTACCTGAATATCTAAGATAAAGTTCCATTCCACTTCTTTATTTAAGGTTAAAACTCATAGCAGAGAGAGAGCTTTTAGTAACCAACAGGATAACAGCCTTACATAGAAACAAATTAAAACAGGCTGATGGTATCTAACATTTTTGAGAGGCTCCCAAACTGAGTTTAAATTTCCTCATGATTAGGAACCACTGCTCTGCATGGAATCTCATATTTGTAGAGCTGGTGGCTCTGGGTCCCACAGGTTCTGATCTGCAGTACCTTACTCTTATCTGGGACAGCTTGATCTCCCCAGTGAACGTGGCAAGAGAAGGAACTTTTCCTGTCTAGCCAAAGACATGGGATTGGACTGAGGCAGAGCAGTTGAGGGACATAACTGAGTATGGAAATGGAGCAGTGGTTTAGGTTAATGGGATGGTGTGGTAGTGGACAGAAGAATGGGCATATGGTCAATATACTTGAGGTAGTCCTATGTTCAGTAATTTCCCTAATCAGAGAGGGGAATGTCCTTAAAACAAACAAGAATCATTCAAAACAAACCATTTCTAACCTAGAAATTCTTTCACAAACTCCTTAAACACAGCATAAATGACAATTCAAAAGGGGACACATTGTCTTGAAGAAATGCTCTGAAAGTATTTCATACAATATTAATGGTGTCATTATTTCAGTGATAAGCAAGATAACAGCACATCAAAAAAGCAGTTTGCTAAGACTGTATTCCAACAGACATTTATAAATCACTTAGTAATTTTATGTTTAATATTACAGTTTTGCAGCAGGAAATAAATCCATATCCTTAATTTTTCTTTAAATATGGTGATTAAAAGTAACATTAGCCAGAATTTCTTCCAAAAGGGTAAAAGATACTCAAAATGTGCATGCACACATATATCTATTATATGCCTGTTGCATATCTATGTGATCCCCAAAATTATCATGTGAATTTGCTTGATGCAAGAAATTGCAAAATGGCACCTTAAACTCTGCAGGAACCGGGACCAACAGAGGCAAAGCAACCCTAAGTCTCTCTGGAGTCAGTGATCAAAACTAACTGGACAAAGTCCAGGTTGTTCAACAGTTGCCATTACCATAGATTTTTACTTCCTGTATTCTCCTTCCTGAAAACAATCATTTATCCCTTCCCTTACCACATGTCTACTTCTGCTACTTTTATGCCTTCAGAAAAAAACATATCCTGGTCTAGAGACAGCATGTAATATGGCTGGTTTTAAGCTGTACTATGCTGATGGGCACAAAAACTAAACTGAACAAATCACAGGCAAGCTCACACTGTGGCTCTCCCCTCAGAGAAAGTGGTGTTTGTGTTGTCACAGTCTCAGAGAATGTGTTAAAGCCCAGCTGGTTTGAAACGTCCACCTAAGTCACATCGGATTGTTCCACTGACCCAAAAGTCAATGGAGGCCTTAAGGGGAAACTGGAAAGATCACATGAGAAGGCAAAAAAGTAAGTTTGCTTCAAAACCTGTTTGCAGTAAACATTCCCTTTCTTAAGAAGCTGAAAAGAAACATGTTCTTCATGTCACAGGCACAGCTGCTTACCGCTCAACGACATAGAAGTTATCTCCATCATCACCTTGGTCAATCACATGTTCCTGAGGTTTCACCTTCCTCTCAAACATGGCATCAAGGACCTGAGACAGCTGCTCCTAAAAAAACGAACAGGAGCGGGTGGAAAACCCAAACCTGTCAGAAAATACACTGCTGGACAATGGCAAGTTCATTTGACTTGATCTGGACAGTGAAACACAACATGCACTGCAGCAGTTTTACTGTATGCAAATACCAGTAATACTGATATTACATGTTGATTTCTACTGGCACCTCATTCATTTCCACATTATTAATGTAAGTTCAATAATGCAGACAAACATAGACACTTCCACCACAGAAGAGACATTATCTCAAATTTATGTCCAAATGGCTCAATTTTTGCAGACCATTTCAGTGCCAAAGCACACATGTATGTTTGGTATAATCTGACACAGCTTCACTGCCATGGACACACATGGATTCACGTCAATGGCAGGTGTATTTCATCACATGTATATCTAGAAACTGCACCATGATCTATTAGTAAATTATCTGTGCTGTCATCATCTAAGAGCCCCGGTCATGACCAGGACTGTACTGAACAGAATTCTATACAGTTATTTCCCTAGATAGTCTGTGTCTTAGAGAACCTACAATTGCAGCCTCAGATGAGACGGGGTAGGTACAGATGGGGAAAACACACAGAAAATGGGATAATGCTGGTGTGCACAGCAGGCTCCAGCTGGGTTTCCCCAATGAGCCATGACCTAACTTTCTTTTTTTGCAGGCAGCACAGCCAGGAAGGCTGTGAAAGCCAAGAGAGATGATGCCACATAAATGCCTTGCCTCGATGCTGACCTGCTTTACCAACTTTGTTATTCCCAGGCCCATTAACAATATACTTTTGCTGCATTTTCAATGCCCAGATGTTCAAAGCTAAAGTTGTAGATCACAGCTGAGTTTCTAAAAATACACTGCATGAACACGCAAGCCAGTCTTTATGCTGCTAGGTGCACTTGAAATATTAACTGCACTCCTGGAGTTGGAAATTATCATTGCAGCATCTGTAGGCACCACTATATTGAAAATATTCCCCATCTTTTCAATAGAATCCTATTTTCTTGTCTTTAAAAACTGTGTCTGGACTGTTAGATCACAATATTAACTGTACATACAAACAATCAACTCCATTTAAGATTTCCTTAAAATGCTATTACCTGATCTAGGTTTTTGAAGAGCAGGATATCTTTACAAGCTTCCTGCAGTCGGCATCGCTGTTCATCAGTTTTTGGATGAACTACCTTTAAAACAAAGTAAAACAGAACTGTCACGACAACAAAGAAATATGATGACAGACTGAACCTTCACTTCAGAGTGAAAAAGCAGAACACAATTTAAGTGTCAAAGTATACATTGGTTTTTGTTGTTTACATAAACAGTATTTATATATAAACATACAATGCATGACAGAATGAAAGAGACATAAGAAAAATATTATGCTGACAATTAACACCTGCAAAATAACAGTCAGGACAGACAAGAAAGAAAAGGATGCCTTTTCCATTCCTTTCCCTTCTAGCACAGCCACAGACACGGTCAAGGGCTAAGCACTTGTAACAGGAAAAAGTGAACAGTTTTCTTTCTAAACTCTGGCTATATTAGTCCCAATATACTTACTGTTGGCATACAGGCAGTTCATAAGATATATGATATATATGAGTCTCAGCCCACCTAAGTATTGAAGAACTATGGTTTTTTCCAATGAAATTACTTAAATAAAGCTTTGCTGTTTGAGATATTTTGCTACTTCTTTCCAATTATAAACTCTCATCAGGTTAAAGGAATTGATACTCACTGTATCATAAAAATGTTTATATGTGTGTTTGTTAGGGGCTAATTATGAAAATATATGTAAAAATATTAATTACCTGACATTCACCACATTAACATTTATTATTTCTGGAATAACAAGGATTCCAAAAATCAGTTACATTAGCAGGCATTTCTAAAAAGTCATTATCTAAAGTTAAGCAGATCTCAGATCCTTATTTTAAAAGAAAACTGAATATTGAGTGAGCAGTCAAGAAAATTAAGACTTTTGATGTATCCAAGTTTACAAATATTTGGATGAGCAGACACACTCATAGTCTTTTTTTTATTTTTATATTATAAAAATTATTTATGAAGTATCTTCATTTTTAAGAGAGATTAAATTAGACTTAGATTTTCATTGCAGAAGTGTAAATAACCTTGTGATGGAATCTGGAAAGGAACACCAGAAGTCCAAAGAGAAAACACTGATCATCACCAGACAGGCTACAGGATTTGCTCTCATAAAACCATCTCTAAAGAAATACAATTGCAGTATCTGGATTCACAATTCCTAGAAATTCCCAGCTTTCGAAACAACAGGTGGCCACAGACTTAAAATATTTCAACCAAGTATTTCTCCTACTCAGGCAGAACTGCTTTGACAAGAAAGGCAGTAAAAAGCATGTGAGGAATTTTAAGCACCCATGAAGAAACAGCTGTGGTAAAGCTTAACTAATTCTTCTCAACAGCATCAGTGCTCTAGGAATTGCCTCAACAAGCCTTTAAGATAATTAAGAAGGAAAATATCCAAAATTTTAAAGATATTAGACTTAAGCACAGCTCTCCAGTCCTTTGAAGTAAAATTATATTAAAGCTGAAGTGACTAAAAAAGTGCATGAGACAAGGCTGGCCTTAAATTTCAGAGCAATGTCACTTTGTCAGTGTCACCACACCACACTCAGCACTAAAGGGACAAGTGGTAGGAAAATGCAACGTAGAGACATCTGCCAGTCAATCTGTAGAGAGAACCATGCATGAAATTATTCCCTCACTCACCCTTTGTTCTGTATCTTCTTCCTCTTCATCTGGATTGAAAGCTTCAGCACAAACTTGGAAGAAAGAGAGAGGAAATTAGTAAAAAGAAGCAATTACATGAGAACAGCAAGCCAATCAATTTATATACCTTTCTTCTGGATTTTCCTAAAGGAAAAACAAAATAACTTTTTGATTTTCTGTCATTATAGTGCCAGAGGCTTAAATCCTATCTGTCCTCTGAGCAGGCACAACATGGCTGTTCTCAGACTCTCATGTAAAAAAATCTGTAATTCACAATAGAAAATAATCTTGCCTAGCAAGTACTCTGAAGCATAGACACAGATTTCCTTTCAATTTGTATCAAAGCATAACAACCTCCATTCAGATTCATTTACAAGCATCTTCTCTAAAATGCAGCGGAAAAATACTGCAGCTACACTGCTTTGTTCTTTACAGTGCCATGTACAGAGCAAAACACACCGGAAAAGAAAAAAAGAAAAAGGAGGGATGAGGCACTTGCTCCACCTCAAGTCAGATGTGCAAGTATCGATATTTTGGGAGTTTTCTATTTTTTATATTTTGATACAGAGAAATAATGTTTGCACCAAAATTTACCCAGGAAATGAACAATCAGCTTGACTACAGTATATTCTATGACAAAAATAATATTTAGTCCCTTCTCTCATATGTTCCTAAATCTTACTATATTTGAATCAAATGAACGTCAATTGGTGATTCAAAACCAACTTTAAAAATTACACAAAGTGATCTTTTTAAAACGGATGAGAATATTTGTGGAAAACCACACACGGCAGAACACTGGGCCACGGGTCTGCCAAACATGTCATTATATCTACAGGAACAACTGGAAGAGGCAATAATGGTGAGCTGCTAAAATTTCAAACAGTTTGATTCTTCAGAAAAGGCTTATCTTCACTTATCTTAACAGTTATACTGTTACATGGTTTTACAATACTAAACACAGACCCTGTGGCTCCAAAAGCCAACAGCTCTAGCTCAGATTTTCTTATTAATTCATGCACATTTACAGTTCTTGCATGTCAAAGTGATCTGCACATTCTAACCACCTGTACAGACAATCAGAGAAAGAAGAGTCCAATCAGAGAAAGAAGAGTCAGTCCTGTTTTCATCTAGCTGTGCTCTTACTTTAACAAGGGTGGTCTCACTTCTGAGGCTATAGGCCACTTATAAAATTTTACAAGGAAATATAGACAAGCATCTTTCTTTGTACTTTATCCAGCATTCTGACAATACTGAAGACTTGGCAGAATGCCCAGAAGCTCACTGCAATGACATCTAACCCCTGAATGGACTCAAAGTATAAACAAAAATAAGCAGATTAAAAAAAAAAAACAAAAACAAAACAAAACTAGAAAGTCCAGAATTCAGCAACTTGCAAATAATTCGAAAATGCACACAGGCTTATTGACCCTGTCATCATGCTTTCAAGAGGACTATAAAAATGGACAAGTCCAGCATAATTTGCTAGGAAAGATTTGCTTGGTTTTGTGTGGTTTGGTTTTGGGTTTTTTTCCCTTACCTAAAAGATACAGGTCTTTCCTAGCAAATTGGATTTTAATTCCTTTCTTCCCTGAGGAGAGTGAAGAGACTGGAATACCAAACAAGCATTCCACTTAACAAACCACAATGTAAAAATCCAATCATATAATCATTAGGCATCAGACATTTAAAGAGTAATTATTACTCATACAATAAACCCATTTAACAATACAGAAACAGTATATTGACAGTGTACCTACCACATGCTTTTAGTTTAACAGAGGGATCCACCCACACTTAGGGCAGATACTTTAGAAAGGATAAACAGCACTCTTCCTCAGCTGAAGAAAGGTATAGTCCACCCCACAGTCCAAAAATGGTTGGATTATGGGAAGGTGAATGCCTACAAGCTGCAGAACTTGGACTGATAGGCTGATCCACTTAATATACAATACAAAGGTACTAACAAAGAGAACATTATTAGCATTTTGGTGTGAAAGCTTTCCTCCTCCTTTCATTTTACAGTAAAGATCAAAGTCTATTGTCAAAGCTGTGAATTTTCTAATAAGGAACATTTTCTAAGAAAAAAGGTTCCTTGGTTTGGACAGTACGGTGAAACTGGAGATTAAAGAAACTATATTTTTTACAATCAGCATATTTTATGAGGAACTGGAGTACAATTCTCTATTTTGCACTATAATACATACTATAAATGCATTTCTGTACATTTCTAGAAGTACCTGACATATAAGCACATTCAAGATACGTATCTATGAATTCAGAGATCATCGTACTTCACTGTATCATTCTATCATTCAAATTCTCAATACTAAGCTGCAAATTTGATTTTGTTCCTTCCCTGTTCCTGCAGGGAAGCTAAAAATGCTTTGGAATTCAGGAAATTCTCTTCAATATTTCCTTGGAAAAACAAGTATAATTACCACAGTTAAAACCAGAGCATCAGAGCAAAACCTTAGATTAAAACAAGCAGCAATCAAAGCAACACAGTTCTCTGCAACTTCAGTAAGAAATGGCTTTGGTTGAGGTTTGTATAGGTAGGTTTCCCCTATTTCATCTTACCCACCATAAGGCCCACACAGGATGTATCCTTCTAGAACTTAGTGCCCTTCCCTTACATATGGAAATTACTTCTGTAGTGCCCATGAGTGGGCACCACAAAAATACAACAAAAATGTGGCCAAAACGGCACTTCTTCCCATACTGTCACATAGAAAACCTTCCCATTATACTTTTCATTCTTCAACCTCCTGCTGGGATTTCTTTTTCCATGGAGAAGGATAGGGCAGAAATTTTGGACTTTGGACAACTCTGATTGACAGGACTTTATTTACTTGCAGGCAGAGCTGTAACACTTAATGTAACATATCTGTTATGGGATGGTTAAAACAGGGGAGAGAGACAAAATTATGATTTCTGACTTCAAGCTTAAATTAATATTGTGATATGCTGGAAATCCCACAGAAAGCTTTTCAGCCTACTCATAACAACCAACAGCATTTTCCAAATACTTTAAAACATGACTAATGCAAAGGAAAAGTAAACATTACATCAAACCCTTCCCATGGTTTATGTCTCAATATGTTCAATTTTTCTTTCCACTATTTTTAATTGGTAGATCACTTGTGGAAGTCTGTACTGTTGAACACATGACCTGCTGGTATCTGTGTGTCAGCCTTACCTTCAAAATGTTGCATGATATCTGTGCTCAGTGTTGCTTTGTTATTCTTCTGGCTGAAAAGAACCCCTTTAACTACCTAAACTCTGCCAATCCCTGTCAGAAATCTATGGAATTTCAGGACTCCTCAAGGTTATTCATTTGTGGGTTACACTACAGCCATTCCCAAAGAAAAAACATCTGATCTTTCATCTTGATAGAGTGAAAATGTACTTGACCCACTATTTGATACATGACTGAATTCATGTATTAACTATTTCAGTATCCCAACAAAGCAGATACCCCAAGGCAAGCTTATTCTCACAACATTATCCTGAAGAAATGCACTGGTAGCATTTTTCAAACCCATTGAAATGGTAGTTGGAAGGGATCTGTCTCCAAAGGTCATCCAGTTCAACCTCCCCCTCCAAGGGGAGCTATTTGGAATGCTGGATTGGGGCTGACCTGGAAACCTCCCCGGGCGAAGATTGCACATCTCTCTGCTGACCTGCTCCACAGCCCTCCGGGGGAAGAGGCTTTTCTTAATGTGCAACCTAAAGCTCACAAGTATCTTGATATAAATTGAAGTGGCTTCTGAAATCACACCTTTCCTATGTGAGATTTTGAGCACAACTCTGCCCTTGAGCAAACACTAAGCACGAATCCATCAGTGGAAGTTACACACCAGTGTGACGCACACACAGTTACGTGTTTCCAATACTACAGCTCTATCAGCTCACATCATGCAGACCAAGCTTCCTTCCAAGTCTACCCACATAGCTCAAATAGCTTTGGAACACAAAAAACAGTTTTCAATTTTAAGATGCTTTAAGATAGAAAGAAATTCAGCTTTTTATCCTACCATCTACATTTAATCTCTTAGCTCCTGCAGCTTCTACAGCAACTTTAGGTTTCTCTCATGCTGCACCTTCTTTGGCTTTCAAGAACAGGCACATCTGTTAACACTTCTGAAGGCTCAGAAATGACACAGTTCAATCGCTGCTGTTATGCAGGTGACAGCATCTGAAAGCAACCAAGATCTTTGTAGCTGCAGCAATGACATCAGCAGTGGATGGTTGAGGGGAAAGCAAGGGGTGGGGAGAGAATGAGAAGTAGCAAGACACCTTTGTTTATGCATGTTTTAATCACTCTCAAAATAATATTGTTCGGCAAAATACGAGTTTTGTCAAGATCAAAGTCCTTGCACTCCGTGCAAATCTGCATAATAGTTGAACATTTAGCTCTGGCAAGCCATCACAGCCTCTGAGAGAAATAGAGCACACCATCCTGGTCCCTGAGAGATCACTGCTTGTTTTCTTCAAAATAGCAGCCAAGAGGCTGAGGCCTGAATACCTTTAGACACATACAAAAGAAAGAAATTGAACTTCCATGTTTTATGTAAGGTGAATGCATTATTAATATTTCTGTTGCTATTGAAACAAGTAGCAAATAGATGCTCTGTCACACTTCCTTTGCAATTTTGGATAGCACCTTCTGTACTCTGGAGTGAAATCCTACTTACTCCTCCTTACTTATGAGGATGCATCACCTCCAGCTGATCCTATCAGCCCCAATAATAAAAATCCACCCAGAGTAGTATGTGCAGAACCACTTTTCCAGTTATTTATTCAGGTGACTAATCTTACACTACATGTATTGTGATGTTCTTTGCATTTGAGTTTGTCAAAGCTTCAAACATTTCATATGTCTGTCTCTCAAGAGACAGATGCAAAGCCTCTTCTGGGAGCAATATGCCAGCTGGAAAGGTGACCACTTCCAGGGTCTTGTCATTCCCTCTTTGACAGCTGAGTTGCACTTCAAAATGATGTAGTCAGATGAATTAGGAAGCTTAAACAGCATTTATACATAGGTCTTTGC